TGTCAAGTCCCTAACAACCAGTGAACAGACATTGGACATGCTCTTCTGAGACGGTGCTGGGCTTTTCCTAACCCATTCATACTTTCCCCTCCTTTGAAACTACTGAAAAGAAATAAAGCGAAGCAGACGTGATAAAACATCGTTTCTACTCTAATATGATATGAGTTTTTAAAAGGAATGCCCAAGCCCAGCTGCTCCCATAAAAGATCAATGAGCCCTTAAAAAATGCATTGTACAGGAGAAAAGGGAATAATTGCTAAGCTGGGCAATAGACCGAAGAAACTAGGATCTTACAATCTCTTTAGATGATTGGAGTTAAGAAAAGATGGGCTACCTCCTGCCCCAAATTTCTAAGGATTCATTTTGGGATAATGGAATTCATTTCACTGTGACAGTCCATTAATGAGTTATCACTGTGATAAATACATGTTCCAGGAAAAGGAGATTTTGCTTTACTGATCTCCTGAGCATCTTTATTCTCTTTCTTAATGGGAAAACATTGTTATTGGCATGCATAAGCCAAAGCATCCTTGACTACTATATTCTGATTATCTCTAAACCGTTTCAGGTATTTACAATTTAAAGTCTACTAAGGAACTTTCTTCCACATTACAACAAGAATGACAAAATCCTGGGTCAATATGCCAGTATTTGGTGAAACATGTCCATATGGCTTTACAGCTTTATGGCTGTTTTATACCCAGCAGTAGATAAGACACAAGGAGTAAACCCAAGTAGACAGAGTCAATAATGGTACAAGGACTATGATACTGGAAAACATGTCTTGTACTCTTGTTGAGTAACTGTAAATAAAATAACTTAAAATGTCATGATTTAATGTTGTTTGTTAGGCTAGAAGCCTTTTTTTAAGACAAGAAACTCTGTCTTCCCTTTATATATATTGTTTCTCTTAAATGCTATGCTGAAGTATAATCCAAGATGGTTTACCAATAGAGTCCCCAGGAGGCTGAAAAAAAAGATTAACACCAAATGAGTTGCTTATTATCTCAAAATAATTTTCATCACTATTATCCTAGAGTCAGGAGTTCAACAATCAGAAAAAAGTGCTGAGATTTTCATAGAAAGTTTTTCTGGGGCATGTAAAGCCAAATAAAACTATTTCAAGGACAAAGGCAACTCTGGATTAATTCTTTTTTAATTATTAATGGAATATACTTGCATTCTTGAAAATTTGGAAAACACTGAATACAGTGGTGATATTTTGATAGTGGTTACAGATAATTTATTTTATTCTTTCCTATTTTTTTTTCTGTACAGTTTTACATAAAGTGATTTGCTTGCAGGAATGCTACAGGAAAAAGAGAAACAGATATGGAGAGTCATGATGAAAATAATCCAAACCATCAAGGCGACCCCTCTAGGGAATTTTTTTGGGTTTATATTCTAAAATGGGTTGCAGGGTAGAATGCAATTCTGCTTGAAGAACTTAAGGAGAAAAGAATGTCTAGTAAAGCTCTGTGGCTCATGCCTGTAATCCTAGCACTCTGAGAGGCCAAGGTAAGTGGATTGCTTGAGCTCATGAGTTCGAGACCAGCCTGACCACAAGTGAGATCCTGTCTCTACTAAAAGTAGAAAAACTGAGGCAAGAGGATCACTTGAGCCCAAGAGTTGGAGGTTGCTGTGAGTTATGACGCCATGGCACTCTACCCAGGGTGACAGCTTGAGACTCTATCATAAATAAATTAATAAATAAAAGAAAAGAAAGGAAGTCTGCCAGTTTTACTACCTGGCTTAGCAGAATTAATACTGCTCCAAGAAAGCAAAAGGGAGCTGGCAGTTGGACAAACCAGGGAAACATAATTTTAGATCTTTATTTTTTTCATTGCCAGCTTTGATAATACACCAATCATAACAATCAGCTTTGACCATGCCCTAATAGGATAAAGAAAATCGAGTCTAATATGAAAGAACTTATGGTCTTGTCCTTTTTATTTCTCCTTACTTCTCTTGGCAAGTAATATACTATACATAGGGGATTCTCACTTGGCCCCAGTGACAATCAATTAGAGGAGGTAGAACTAGAGGAAAATGAAATTTATGAAAAATTACCTGATCAAATTCAAATGATGAAATTATTAATATTATTTTTAAAAGCTGCATCTCAGGATACAAAATCAAAGCCCCCAAATCAAAAGCTTTTGTATATGCCAATAACAGTCAAGCCAAGAATAAAATCAAAGACTCTATAACTTTTATAGTGGCTTCAAAGAAGATGAAATACCTGGGAATATATTTAATAATGGACATGAAAGATCTCTATGAAGAGAACTACAAAACTCTGAGAAAAGAAATAGCACAAGATGTTAACAAAGGGATGAGTATACCATGTTTGTGGCTGGGAAGAATCAACATCATTAAAATATCCATCATTCAAATATCCAACACCATTAAAATATCCATACTTGCAATATCCAAAACAATCTACAGATTTAATGCAGTCCCCATCAAAGCACCAGTGTTACACTTTGAGGATCCTTTTTTTTTGCAGTTTTTGGCCAGGGCTGGGCCTGTACCCACCACCTCTGGCATATGGAGCCAGCGCCCTACTCCTTTGAGCCACAGGCACCACCTCTCACTTTGAAGATCTTGAAAAAATAATACTTCATTTCATATGGAACCAGCACAAAACCCAAATAACCAATACAATTCTTAGAAATAAAAACAAATCTGGAGGCATCATGTTACCAGACTTCAGGTTATACAAGTCCATAGTGACCAAAAATCATGGTACTAGCACAAAAATAGAGAAATAGATCTATGGAATAGAATAGAGTAGTGGTTTTCAACCTTCCTAATGCCTCAGTGTATTTTCATTGTTACAAAGGGGTCGCGACCCACAGGTTAAGAACCGCTGGAATAGAAAATCTAGAGATAAACCCAGTCACATATCACCATTTGATCTTTGATAAACCAAACAAAAGCATGCACAGGGGAAAAGAATCCCTATGTAATAAATGATGCTGGGAGAACTGGTTAGCCACATGTAGAAGACTGAAAGTGGACCCACATCTTTCACCACTGACAAAAATTGATTCTCTCTGGATAAAAGATTTAAATTTAAAACATGAAACAATATAAATTCTAGAAGAGATTGTGAGGAAAACACTTGAAGGTACTGGCCTGGGAAAATAATTTATGAGGAAGAAAGACCCCCTTGGCAATTGGAGCAACACCAAAAATAAATAAACGGGATTTTATCAAGCTCGAAAGCTTCTGCCCAGCTAAGGCTACCATAACCAAAGCAAACAGATAGGTTTCAGAATGGGAGAAGAATTTTGCATGGTATGAATCTGACAAAGGCCTGATAACTAGAATATACAGACAATTCAAATTAATCAACAAGAAAAGAGCAAACAATGCCATTTAAAAGTGGGCAAAAGACTTACATAGAAACTTCTCTGAAGAAGACAGATGAACAGGCTAACAAACACCTGAAAAAATGCTCATCCTCCCTAATCATCATAGAAATGCAAATCAAAACCACTCTGAGATATCACCTAACTCCAGTACAATTAGCTCACTTCACAAAGTCCCAAATCTGCAGATCCCAAATCTGCAGATGCTGGTATGGATGTGGAGAGAGGGGGAAACACTTCTACACTGCTGGTGAGATTGCAAACTAATACAACCTTTATGGGAAGAAGTATAGAGAATTATTGAAGAACTAAGAATTGACTTTCCATTTGATCCTGCAATCCCATTCCTAGGTATCTACTCAGTAGAAGAACAAAAATGATTTTACCAGAAAGACATTTGTACCAGAATGTTTATTGCAGCTCATCTCACAATTGCCAAATTGTGGAAGCAATCCAAACGCACATCAATCCATGAATGGGTTAACATATAAACAATTATATGTCCACAGGAAAGGTCAAACACAAATGTAGTCTAGCAAGGGAGAAAGGAACAGAGGAAGAAGGGAGGCAGAGCGGAAGGTTGATTGGTGAGAGGAGGGTGGTGATTGATGGGATCTCACCTAATGTGAACAATGTGAGGGTGTTTAGCACATCCCCTGGGCCAAGGGCTCTTCTACAACTTGAACTTTGCCTCGGAAGTGAGAACAAGATAACCTAAAAATTTGTGCCCTCATATTAATTTGAAATAAAAAAAAAAATAAAACAGATTACAATTTCAAAAAAAAATTTAAGCTTCAAGGAATATATATGACATTTAAAGGTTTCTTTTTCAGGATCTTAACCAGAAAAAGATCAATAAGCCAATGAAATTAATTTGCTGGCCTTGTACATTTGAACTGCTGCCTCAAGTATCAGAACGTAAAGTCTCCTCCCTGAAAGAGATACAGACAATTCCAATAGCTGTAACTCAAAAAGGAGGGTAAGTGCTTTCCATTTTCAACTAAAAAATATCCTCCTGGGCAGCACCTGTGGCTCAAAGGAATATACCGGAGGTGGTGGGTTCAAACCCAGCCCTGGCCAAAAAAAGAAAAAAAAAAGAAAACTGCAAAATAACAATTAGGATAATAATAGTAATAATCTAAAAATACCCTCCTGATTTTTCATACTATGTATTAGGAGGTCTCCAAGTGGTAATACTTTTATTTATTTATTTAATTTTTTAATTTCAGGTTAATGTGAGGGTACAAACAGCTAGGTTACAATATTTGCATTTGTTGGGTAGAGACCCTCTTATAGTTGTGTCCTGCACCCAGTTATGCCATATACCCTTACATTGTGGACATTAAGTGGGAGCACACTCATTCCCCTCCCTCTTCCCCTCTCTTCTTTTCCTTGTCCCCCCTCCCCATCTGGAATTGAATCGAGTTTTTCTCTTATGTAGATGTGTATTAGATCATCTCATGGCTTCATATTAGTATTGAGATATTGGATGTTTGCTTTTCCACTTTTGTGATACATTACTACACGTGGGAATACTTTACAGATACCTAGAACCCTCTTTGGATGGGAATGTATCAACTTTATCCTCAGGCTATATCATTGCCTAGTCTGTATGTCTCTTACCTGTCTGAACCGGGGGCTGACTTCAAACTCCGAAAATTTTGGCTGTCTAAGTCCAAACTGTAGCTCCTTCCACTTTCAGTTTTTGGACCCATGATTTCTCCTTTGATTGCTGATCTGAACTTGCTAAGAAGAAATCTGAAATTGTTTACACAAATGTATATATGTAAGACAAAAAGAGAAAAGAAAAAGATTGCAAGAATACAGTTTTTAACACTTTCAATAATAAAGGATGCTTCAAGAAAGGAGTCTTGGGATGGAGAGATTCTTGGGAGTTCCCAGGGCCTATGCAGTATAGTGTCAAGGGTAGTAATGGAGGAGGTTATGACATTCTCCAAAGATCCATACCACTTGCTGGTAAATGCAGGCCTCTGTTCCTGCTAAGCAAAAGACACCTAGTTTGGGAACCCACCCCTGTGACCAGAGAATGGAGAAATATTGCCTGGCCCTATTTGCAGGGATACTGAGAATAGGGAGCTTGAACACACCTTACTTAGAGAGGGAAGTTAGGATGATCCTCTGGGACAAATTGAGGTAGCCGTTTATTAGACTGCAGCTCCATGTTAACAGTGACTCTGCCTCCCATGTTCTCTGCCAGGTTCCCTGAGCCTTGCATGATGCCTGGCACATACTATATAACCCAACCAACTCTTTTGAAATGAATGACTAACCTCATGTGGTAGAAGCCATCTTGATATTGTCCATGACACTTCTCCCTGAGGTAAATTGGAATAGGGCAGTGCCTCATGTTGGATGAAATCTGACTGATTTTCACAAAATTATTTGGAACTTATGCAAAATTAGCTTTTCTGGAACCTGGATTAAAGTTCTGATCTGGAATACTGAGTGCCCAAACCATGAGTGTTTCCAAGCACTCTTTAATTAAAAAGCAAAACAAAACTATATATACACCAGTGATGTCATTGGGGGAGAACAATTCATTTCCTTTATATTTAACAGTTTTCTAGAGGAAAAAAATGGATTCCAAAGATACTGGCACGATCTTAATAGAATCTTCCACCTTGTTTCTATTTCAAAGACCCCTGGAAGAGAATCACTGTCAAAGTGTCAGAAGCTTCAATCTACTGGAAAATTACATTTTTGGGGTGAGAATAGAACTTAATATGCTGTAAATCTAGATTTATCTGAGAACCACCTCATGCATGTTCCCCACCTCTGCATCTCTTTTTAAGGCGTCTCCTCTGCCTGAAATCACTCTTCTTCTTTGCTATCCTGAACCTCACATATTTCAAGCTCCTCATCAAGTCTCACTTACAATTTAATGTCTTTCTGGATGGCTCCTGTGCCCCAGTAGCATTTATTACCTAGACGCTCATTTAATATTTAACACCTTATCACCTTATGACATCTCTTCTGGTTAACACCCTGCCTTATTTTAGAAAGCCTTTCAGGCACTTTATATTGTCATCTAACATTTTCCTGAAATTCTTCTATATTTACTAACTTTTCATGTACGTACCTTTTTTTGAAGACTGAAAATCATCAGATCCCAGTTTTCAGATTCAGCAGGGCTCAGCCTAGTGCTATGACAGTTTGAATGATGTGGGATTGGTATAATTCATTGTGCTGGTGAGTTAGTTATTGTCCCCTAGCCCCAAGCATACTCTTCTGTAACCTACTGTGTGATACCTGGGCTGAGATCTGCAAACTATAGTTCCTAGAAACACGTGTGGACTTGGAGTTACTTATTAAATCAAGACATCAATTGTTTTTGATGTGTCAGGCACCATGCATAATACTACAACACAAAAGCAAAACCACTGGTTCAGCACTAAAGGAGCTTGCAATGAAATGTGTATGTGTGTGGTGGAAGGAGTGGTGTGGAGTAGCATAGATTGCAATGTGATGTGTGATGCATAGGTGTAAAGCATTGTGGAAGACCCAAGGAGTGATAAATGGATTCGGCATAGTAGAAAGGATCAATACATGGAGTAGGATGCACAGGACACTAGTCTAGCCTGTCTTGCCCACTCATGTCTGCTAAGTACTGAAGACATGGTTTCTCATGAGTGACATTTTAGGATTCACTCCCACTCACAGGTCAGGACAGTGAAAGAACTCTAGATTTATTGTGGAGCCAGATAAAGGCTCAAACCTGCTCATGTTGCCTTCTGCTGAGAGAATAAAACAGTGCTGCCTGGAAAGGACCATCAAGTGACTTGGTGCACATTAAAACTCTTGCTACCTTGGCCATAAAAACTGGCCAAAAAAGCTGCCTGAGAAACAAAAATCTGCAAAATGCAGGGCTATAAAGCTGCAGTTTGCTTTTTGGTCTTTGTAGCCTGTGTTCTGGGGGTCACTTTTCTCCCCTGATAGAATCTTCCTGCACTTAGTGTCCCAGGGCCATCTTGCATCAGGTTCCTTTATGTACCTCCCATGGCTACTCTCAGTACTCGACACACACGTTTGCTCACCGAATTGTTATGTTAGCTATTGGGGTAGTCAAATGTTATTTTTTTCCCTCAAGGAAGTCTAAATTTTAAACAAGGGATATGACGCTTTAAGCTCAATTAATAAATTGTTAATTTTGATATTTTATTTTATTTTTTTAATTAAGTCACATACACATAGATCATGAATACATTTATGCATATGTGGGGTACAATGTATTGATACTTTTATACAATCTGACGTGGTTACATCAAACCAATCAACATAGCTTTCGTCTCATTTACTTGATTATTGTGTTAAGACTACACTTACAGATTTGACTTGTACCCTTGCAATATGCTCCAAAGAGTTTACTTTGGAGTTTACATCATGTCTGTTGAAGAAGTCAGGTACTGATATTATACAACAAAAGGAATTTTCACCTCTTTATAGACAAGAATGGCCCTGACATGAAACCTTCTACTTGTGAGTAATGGGAACCATACATATATATACCAGATAGGTCAAATGAAAGAAAAAACTCTAACTTGCTGAAGTCAGAGGGGATGTTTATTTCCATATTGAAGGTAATTAAAAGTGCATTTCCTGAGGAGAATGATATGTAAGTGTTACCTTCATTGAAACTCTGGCCTCCTTAGCATCGCTGAATTGAAACCAGATTTGAAAAACTGAGGAGTCTTTATTTTAGAGGTGTCTGGAATAACTGTCAAAAATTCTCCTGAAGAGGTTGTGTCTTACCCTTTTCTCTTGGGCCCGTCGTGGCTGGCCTTCTGCCCAGCAGAAGGTGAAGTGTCTGACTTTTCCACATCCTGACAGGTTTGCTCTTGGCTTTGTACTTCCTCAGCTCCTCATTAAAAAGAATCACAAGACAAATTTGCATACAAAATGGTTAGAAGTGACAGTAAATTTCAATTCTACATCCACTTTCTTAGATTAGCTTAAGACCAAGAAGTCTATAATAATTGGCAATGCTGTTTCCATCCTAACTTTTCCAATCACACCGTTATTTCTAATTTGTTGAGTGTTCCACAGTTAACTGAGGACTAAGATCCAGAACGTGTCTGTGGGAGGTTTGCTAAGATAAACTTTCTAGGGATGACTGTAATGGAAGAATGAATTCATCATCTATCTCTCAACTGATTTTTTAAAAATTTTGTGAATTTCAGGTTAATTTGAGGGTACAAAGAAATAGGTTACAATGTTTGCATTTGTTAGGTAGAGTCCCTCTTATATCTTGCCTCCAAGAGGTGTGCCATACACCCTAACATTGTGCCCATTAAGCGGGAGCACACCCATCCCCCTCCCTCCTGCTGTTTATCCCACCTTCATTCCCTGTCCCCCAACCCTGAATTGATTGGAGTTTTCTCTTATATGGGCATGTATTAGATCACCTCCTGGCTTTATATTAGTATTGAACACATTGTATACTTGCTTCTCCACTCTTGTGATACTTTACTAAGAAGAATGTGTTTCAACTCCATACAGGTTGATACAAAAGATGTAAAGTTTTCATCTTTTTTAATGGTCGACTTTCCATTTGATCCTGCAATCCCATTACTAGGTATCTACCCAGAAGGACAAAAAGCATTTTACTACAAAGACATCTGCACCAGAATGTTTACTGCAGCTCAATTCATAATTGCCAAGTCGTGGAAGCAACCCAAATGCCCATCAATCCATGAATGGATTAACAAATTGTGGTATATATATGTCATGGAGTACTATTCAACCATAAGAAAAGATGGAGATTTTACATCTTTTATGTTTACCTGGATGGAGCTGAGACACATTCTTCTTAGCATAGTATCTCAAGAATGGAAAAATAATATCCAATGTATTCAATACTAATGTGAAACTAATATGTAAATAATCATATGCTCATATAAATGATAAAAAAGAAAAATAGTCTAGCAAAGGGAGGGGCAAGGAAGAAGGGGTAAGGGTAGGGGACGGTGGTTGGAGGAAGGAGGGAGGGCATTTGTGGGATCTCACCTAATGTGTACATTGTGAGTGTATTCAGCGCACCCCTTGGGTGAAGGGCTCTTCTACAACTTGAACTTTACCTTGGAAGTGAGAACATAGTACCCTAAAAATGTATACCCTCATATTAATTTGAAATACAAAAGAAACCCTATAAAGAGATTTTCTGTAACAGAGAAAAATGTCACCCTAGTTTTTGTTTCCTGGGGTTAATTCATTTCCTTCCTGACAACCCTTTACTCTGGACTAATTTATAAATGCTTAATCAAATAATATCACTTTGAGTAAAAAGCTATGAATGGAAAAAAAGAAAAGTTACAGAAGTGATATACCGGTTTCTGAATATATAAGTCAGACTTCTTAGGAGAGCAGGCACTTATGTGCATACCTTGTGAGTTTAGAAACAGTCCTCACTCTGGAAGGTGCTGAGATTTGAGTGGAGGAAGAGGCCAAAGATGACTGCCTAATTGTAACTCCACTCCATTCCTCTGTGGCATCGTACCTGATATTACCTATCTGGAAAAGCCCTTCCTGGTTAGTGTCACATTCAATAGTACTGGAATCAATTCCAGGCTCCCTAGCCTTACCTTCCAGACTTAAAAATAAGGGCAATTATCTCTTGTGTAGAAAAGATAAGATGGCCTAAGAACAGGCCAAAGATGCCTATTCCATTTTTATTCTACCACACATGAGAAACCTTCTCCCCAACATAAGTTTTACTCAAAATATAACCAATTATCAGCTGTTAGAAGGTATAGGGAAAAAAAGTAGTCAATTAAATTATAGTTTGAATGCACTGAAAAGCATTCTCAAAATGGGGTTGTCATTTGCATTTGGTGCCAGTGAACGAATGAGCTACAGGCACCAAGCCATGTTTTATGTAGTTTTCTTTAATATTTATTAAATATTGGAAGAACTATCTATGATGATGACAATGATGATAAATGGTTTCTGTGAAAATCTCAGTGTGTTAGATATATAGACAATCACGGTAAATTTTACTTTTCACTGACTTGCCCTTCCCTTGTATGAATTGCAGATTTAGATTTCATGCTAACACGTTGTGAAAATGACCTAAGGGACTCAGGAAATTCAATTGTACTCATTTGCTACATAATGCAGGGAACTTATTTAGCCAGACAAAATGAAGACTAAAACAGATTTGCAACCGAATAATTTCTTTAATTACCTGGACTTCTTCTTAAGATGGATTGTCGAACAACATCAGTGCCTAGAACATTGACTTGTTTGAAACGTTTTGCCTTTTCTTCAAAAAACCATTCACCAGTCATAATCCTTAGCTGCCTACTCACGGAGAGAAGGAAAACATTAAAATTCAATTATTTAGCCATATAATTAACTCTCAAAAATTTCTAATTAAGTAAAAGCAGCTGTTTATTTATAGAGTCCATCTCAATCTGTTGAGTATTTTATGGTGATAATGACCATTATTAATTCAATATATACTATCTCCTAGGTATTTCCTACTTGTTCTTCATTCTTCATATACTTTTATCCATAGAACAACATTATGTAACATTATTACCCCATTTTATAGATAAGGAGACTGAGACTTAGAGTAATAAAATGATGTGCCTTATATCACACAGTTGATGAATAGTATAGCCAGGATCACATCCTACTAAGTCTGGCCTAGGGCTCAAGTTCTTTTTTTAATATAGAAGAGTATAAATGTTTATTTTTTGTATGATTTACTTAGTTGTCCATTTTTACAATATAGAGAATTGTATTCTTTGAATAGCTCTAGTAAATATAAATTTAATCTTTCTACTTTGGGAGGTAAAGAAAGCTTAAAAATTATACACCTAACTCTCCCTGAATAGCTTTTATAATTGTTGAATTAATGTGGCTACTCCTCTTGTTCAGCAATTTGATGCAAATGCCAAAATACAAAAAGGTGATTAGTATATACTACATAGGAAGGAAATGGCTTAACATTTTAGATAGCTTCTTGAAAGTCAAAAAAATTAGTAGCATTTGATTGCACCTTCAAACTTTTACAAGCAAAACATTCTTAAGCAATGCCATCATACATAATCTACAATTGTAATTAAAATTTCACAAACATTTTCTGTACACTGTATATAAATACCCATTATAAAGGTGCAATTAAACACAGAATATGTACAAAATGGACAAAGTTAAGTTTTAGACTAGTGTGTATATAAGTTCCTATGAACATGCAAGATATAGGTAATAGAAATTAAGATACCCAAAAGAGGATTCTGTTATTCATTAAAGTATCTTCCTTTTGAAATAGGGCTCAAGCTCTTAACCACTGTGTTAATGGGTAAATGATCCTCAGTGCAAGAAAAGGGGAACAACTGAAGATTTTGAATGACAAAAGGGCCATGTCCACACTCTATTTGAGAAAAATTCCTTGGTGTAACATGGACACTTGAGTAGAGTGTCAGAGGAATGGGACAAAGAGACAGGATGGCCATTGAAATAGTCCAGGAGAGAGACAACAAGACTCATGGTAGGACATTGGTAACACTAACAGAGAGGAAGAGATAAATTCAAAATGCAGATGGTAGAAGTGCTTTCCTGGATTTTGCAATCAATTAAATATTAAAGTGAGAAAGGACAATCCTTAAATAGTCATATCCATCTTTTAAGCCTCACCTGAGAAGGCTACATAAAACCACCACCTGTCCCCCATCCTCTCTTCTGAAATGCCTATAACACTCTTCTTTGTTTGTTCTTCTCCCATTCTCCAGAGTTATTTCAGCCCAGGCCCTCTCCTGTCTACTGGGCTATAATCTCCCTGAGGGCCAATCTCTCTCTGATCTATCATTTTCTCCACTCGTACCTATAAGAAAGTCTTTCAGTCTTTCACAGACTATGCTTTCATGTTTAAAATGAAGAATTAACTACTTCCCCCATCACATTTGTACATTACCTCCTTTTTTATATCCTCATAGCCCTCATTACAAGCAGTGACATGAATGCCAGAGCTTTGGTTGTGTTGTTCATCATTTATTTTCTTTTCTTTTTTTTATTGAGACAGAGCCTCAAGCTATCCCCCTGGGTAAAGTGCCATGGCATCACAGCTCACAGCAACCTCCAACTCCTGGGCTCAAGCGAGTCTCCTGCCTCAGCCTCCCAAGTAGCTGGGACTACAGGCGCCTGCCACAACGCCAGGCCATTTTTTGGTTGCAGCCATCATTGTTGTTTGGCGGCCCGGGCTGGGGATTCAAACCCGCCACCTTAGGTGTATGTGGCTGGTGCCTTAGCCGCTTAAGCTACAGGCGCCAAGCCTGTTCATCATTTCTAAGATTAGCATCTGGCACGGCATTCACTAAATATTGGTAGAATGAATTAGGACATCTAGAGTTCAACCTATACCAGCTATGTTGCCACAAAGTTCATTTTCAGGCTTATAACAAGGATTTTACCTACTATAGAAGTTATTTAGAAACTTAAATATATTTCTAATTAAAAATAAAGAAATTATTTTAACTAATTAGGATGAGCATTTCTGTTCCAACATCTCTATGGGGCATGTTCTGAGCATGGTAAATAGGCCTGTGTGACTAGGGTAAAGGGTTGTGGAGGAGTCTAGTGGTAAATGAGGTTGAAAGGTAGAATCAGGGCTAGGTAATGGAAATTGTTGAATGTCATGCTAAGAAGGTGGAATGTCATCTAGAAGGTGATGGAAAACTCTTACTATTTTATAAAAGTTCATGTTGAATCATATAATCTCTAGAGAAATATATGGAGAAGAGAAAAACCAGAAGCAGGCAAGCCAATTAGAAAGTGATTACAATAAACACAATAGGAAATAATGACGCAAATCAGCATATCATATAAGAGTGAATGGCTACAATAATTAAACACAAAAATGTGTTTGTTCTAATACTCAGTCAATACTCACAGGATAAACAAGGAAAATTTAGAAATGGTATAGGGCAGATATAGGCCTGTGGGCCAAACAGCCTCCCCCCCCATCTATTTTGTACAGCCCACAAGCTAGAAATGATTTTGGCATTTTAAGTGGTTGAATAAAATATAAATAAGAAATTTTATGATATGTGAAAATCATATGAAATTCAAAATTCAGGGTCCATAAATAAGAGTTTTATTGGAAGAGAGTTATAATCAATTGTTTATTATTGTCTCTGGCTGTTTTTGTGCTACAATTGGAAAGGTCAGTGGTTATAGCAATAGACTATATCGCCCTCAAGATCTCAAATATTTATTCTATGGTGTTTTATTAAGAAAGAGAAGTTTATAAACTTCTGCAATAGGGCAAAGAGTTTACACAAAATGAAGTAAGAACAAGGGGGAATAACACATTGATTGAAAATTCCTTGAGCATGGACATATTCAGTCTACATTCCCCAAGAAATATTTCTCCAGATCACCTTTACCACATACACGTAGAACTCTCAACACCTAACACAAATAACATCTTCCCAGAATTGTTAGTCATTACTTCTTGCTATCCTTGTGAGAACAATAACTATAAACCTTGTATTTGCTCACCCTGAATGTGTACTTGAGTCACTTGTCATTTTAGAGCTTGGAAACATCAGAACAGTCTCTTGAAATTATGCTTTTGCTATCTTGTAAGGTCCCAGAAGTAGACAGAAAATAGAGCAGAAAACTACTGTGCCTAGTGCATACCAGGCACAACACAATGTCTATAATCCTCACTATAAGCCATGAAGTAGCTATTATTATTCTCAATACCTTGTCCCAAATTTTAAAAGTATTATGGCAAAGACAAGATGTATGTGGAAAGGCTAGATGCCTTGTATTTGGCAAAATTGTCAGAAGAAACCTCACACATGTCAGACATAACAAAGACTTTGATACTTTGAAAACGGTGAATGCCTACAGAAGCCAAGGAATAACACCTAACATTTTATATGATTGGTTGCTGGTGTGGTATGTGTGTGTGTGATGGTTTTCTAAAGTCTGAGAAATGTAGGCTTAAAACAGACTTGATTACCTCTAAATCCTACTCTCAAGAATGAGTTCCACTGAAATTACAATGAGGTATATTCATTTGTGAATAATGATTAGTGACCATTCAGAATTTGTAAGGCTCTGATTACCTTTAACATTAAACTCTGGGGACTTTGAACCTTCACTTGGAAGCTTATATAAATGTGAAGTCACGGCATAGTCTCATTACATTCATAGGAAAAATAGATAATTTTATCCTAAAAAAGTGACTGAAGGGTGGTGCCTGTGGCTCAAAGGAATAGGGTGCCAGCCCCATATGCCAGAGGTGATGGGTTCAAACCCAGCCCCGCCCCCCCAAAAAAAAGTGACTAAAAATTTCAATTTACTCCTTTAACTTCTATTAACTCTTGGAGATAATGAGATAAGATATGTTTATTAGTTATGCTTAAACATGATACTAGTTTCCTTCTATTATTCATAAGGAAACTAATTCAAAGAATTTATAGATTTATTTCTTACACAGTCAATATTTATTGCATTCCTTCTATGTTGTAGGGCTATGCTAGGGTTAAGAATAAACAGATGAAGACAAAGATCCTGCCATCTAGAAATCATGGTTTAGATTTATTCCTTTTGCCTTTCCCAAGAAGGAAAAGTGAAAAAAAATTCATAGACACATTACGATGAAACTAGAAAACACTAGAGACAGAGATAATCTTAAAAGGAGCCAGGAAGAAAAAAACAAAAACAGATTTACAGTGGTTCTCAACCTTCCTAATTGCTACGCTGTTACAAATGGAACAAAGGGGTTGCAACTCACAGGTTGAGAACTGCTGAACAAGGAAATGACAAAATGACAGTTGACTTTTAACAGCAATAATGAAATCCAAAGCCACTGAAATGATATCTTCAAAGTTCTGGGAGAAAATAACTATCCAGAGAAACCACTATTCAGCAATTAGGATGAAATAAAGAAATTTTAGCAAAATAAAAGTGAGATAATTTATCACCAACAGGTTCTCAGTAAAGTGACTGTTAAAGACTATACCTCACTTCCAGGGTAAAGTTTCATTTGAAAATGTTTTCTTCAAGGAAAAAAATAAATAAATAAAGACTATACCTCAGGAGAAGTTTAAACAGATCTGAGTTACAAAAAGGAATAATGAACACTGAAATTGATAAAATGAAGATAAATCTAAATAAATATTGATGCATAAATAAAAATTGTAATATGAACATTGTTGGATTAAACAATAAAAAATGTCTGAACAGGACAAAAATATCATAGACCAGGCAGGAAAAAGATATTTGAAGTTTAAGAATGACATGTTCCTTTTATTGATTAGAAGAAAGATGAAAGTATTGATTAG